CCCCCCCCCCCCCCCCCCAAATGTGTAAAACAAGCCAGCCATTTTATTTATTGAATAAGGGTTTAACTGTATTTTTTGTTAGGTATAAAGTCTGCAACTGGCAGCACATACAACTACTGCGGCAAGGTAAACTGCTCAATTCTTGAAGCTTACAACAAGCAAGACATGGATCAGGCAAGGAAATTTCAACTTGAAGCTCACAAATATTTGAAAATCTTCATGAAATATGGTGGAAATATTGCAGTGACTAGAGCATTCTTGATTTTACTTGGATTAGATGTCGGGCCTCCACGATTGCCTATTATGCCTTTGAGCAACGAGGAATTGAAATCGTTGAAAACCGACTTGCAAAATGCAGGGTTTTTTGACAGTAAATAAACTTAAATTTGACTTGTCCTAATAGGTGCCTAAACCTCATTTTAATTCAACGCTGTTTCAACTTGAAACAAAGGATAACCTTTTTTGCTGACTTTTCTAATATATATAATTGAATTTGAAATTTTAAAGATGATCTCCACTCCGTTCTGCTCATAACAAATGGGGACCCCCAGATATAAACATTGCCCAAATTTTGCATCTTTCGAACTTTTTTTAATTGAAATGTATAGTAAGTTTATATTCATTTACAAGCATATAGCGAACCAGAAAAGTGTTAGATATTCAGTTTAAATCATTTACACATTCAATAAAGACAATAATTAATATGTTTTATCTCTTTTGGGTTCACAATCAAAAACCCTAAAATAAAAAATACCTTGTTTGTTAAAAATTTGTCAAAACCTAAGTTGACAACCTTGAGGAATAGCAGTGCAAAACAATCTGATACAAGGTTGTTGTACTAACCTTGTTAGCAAGTCTGCTGTTGGTCTGTAACAACTTGTCGACAAGCTGGAAACAAGCTGTATAAACACAGCACAATATCAGTTGAGACAACCTTGTAGCAAGTCTGCTGTAAGTCCGCAACAAGTTGTCAACTAGTTGGGAACAAGCAGTGCAAAAAACAACATAATATCAAGTTGTTGAGACAACCTGGTAGCAAGTCTGATACAGTCATGAATCACTCATGACATAGAGAACAATCTTGCAACCATGCAGTCTGACATTTACATCAACAAGGTTTTACAAGTTGTTAACAGCTTGTTCCAAACTTGTTAAAAACGTGGTACAATTCAGTAGTGGCTTGTTGGCAGACTTGCTACAAAATGTGTGATTTCTGCGTGCGTACAGGTGAAGATGCGTTTGCAACAGGCTTATAGCAAGCTTGTCAACAACGGCCCCCTCGTTTAAAAACATAAATGAAGCTTAATTATCCCCCCCTCCAGAAATACAACAAACATCTCACATCTGTGTTTATATTGAACCGTGTGGTCCGTGCACTATTCTTTCAGGAATATAATTCACTTCTATTCACTTAATATGTTTCACTTCATATTCAGACAGGCCTATAAGAAGAGCAAGTACTGCTTTTATAGTCAAAATTCTTTGAAATGCGCACTTTATTCGACGATGAATTTTCAATTCGGTCTTGCAGCAGCCCCGGTTACACCACTTGACAAAAATGGTGAAGTAAATGTCTCTATTATTGGCAAATATATTGATATTTTGCTGGAACAAGGAATTCGAAGTGTCTATGTGAATGGTTGCACTGGCGAAGGGCCGAGCTTCAACGTCCAAGAACGCAAACTCGTTGCAGAAAAATGGGTGGAATACGGCAGAAATAAACTGGATAAAATCATAATTCAAATTGGTGGGACAAACATGAAAGACTCGCAAGAACTAGCCGTTCATGCACAAAAAGTTGGGGCATCTGCAATCGCTTCCCTTCCTCATTTATTTTATCAATCTGACGTGTCAAGTTTGATCGAGTATTGTGCTGAATTAACCAGTGTTGTACCTGAAATGCCCTTCATGTATTACCATATACCAGGCTTCACTGGGGTTAATATTAAAGTCGAAGAATTTCTGGAAGCCGCACAGCACAAGTTGCCAAGTTTGGTCGGGGTGAAATACACTCACAATGATCTCTTTGATGCCACCCAAAGTACATTGGTAGGAGGGGGCAAATATTTGGTCAGTTTGGGTGGAGACGATTTGTTGCTGTCAGGTTTGGTGTTAGGTAAGGGTTATATATTCTGTAGCTGGGTTTTCATCAAGTACAAATAGCCTGTGTCACAAACCTTACTGCCAGTGAGGGCTAAGTACAATGGGCACTATTCCATTTAGTATCTGTAGGAAGCTTTTTTAAAAACTAACCCTTCCACAGGGGCGGTGGAATAGGTTTTATATGGGGGGGGGCTAAATTTCAACTTGGAAACACAACACACGTTACATAATCCAACTGCATTGGGCCATTCCATTTAATATAGGCACCCCCCCCCTGTTGAGGGGTCCCTTCATAATCCCCTTAGGATATAAAAATTTTAGAACCCCCTTGGATGCGATTTTTGGAAGTTCCCCCATGGATATCTTTATACCCCCTTTAGGATATCGTTTTTACCCCCTTGGATATCACTAAAACACCTAATTTTTGCTATTTTTTGAAAATTTCTTAATTTAAGCTACCCTCTAGGAAAATTTAAGGTAACCCCCCATAGGATATCCAGACCCCTCAATAGGGGGGGGGGTGCCTATATTAAATGGAATGGCCCATTGGGCTTTTGTTCAAAGCACTATTCAAGGCAGTAGGGTAGGAAGTTAGGAGGGCTGAAAATTGGGGGGGGGGTCAAAAATTGAGGCTCAGAAATGTATTAATATATTGCACTTTCTGGCATCGAGTTGAAGGATGTGGACAAAAAAAATGCTTCAAAAAATCACTTCATTGGTTTTGGTGGTTTGGATGACTTGGTAGGGACTAGAATCTATAATAATATCTATATAAATATTATATCTAATTACTTAATTAGGAATATATCTATACACTTAATCTATTTTTAAGGTGGCTTAGCTCCCCTGTGAAAAATGTTATGGGTGCTGAAGTCCCCCCCTCAGTTAAATTCACTTAAGGAATATTTTATTGACCACAATGTTGGTTATTTTGTTGACAGTTCACTTTGCCTTTAGGCAGCAATCAAGAATCTTTGTTATCATCTTACTCTGATCTCTTTTTTTTTGGCGGGGGGGGGGGGCTCAGGTCCTTCATTTTACTTCTGGGGAGGTCAGATGTGGGTTGTATGATGTAGGGGTACACCGGATGAGAACACAATTATGTACAACAACAACATCAATAACAACTGCAACCTTGACTATAACAAGTCAACCTTGACAACGGCAACAACAACAGCAAGGACAACAGCAGCAGCAGCAACAATAACCACAACAACCCAATGACAACAGCAAGTATGATAAACAAATTAAACCAGTTTACATTTTAGTTTCATTTTTTTATGACTTAGTCATGTTTGAGTTGTGTACTTTAGCGATGGGCCAATACCAAATATTAGACACCATTGATACCAGTGTAAAATATCTTATTAATTACTCCATCTAATGCCAAACGATTTACTTGTCAGGAGAGTGCTGGCACTCAATGGGTTTAACTGTATTTTTTATTAGGTATAAAGTCTTCAATTGGCCTCACATACAACTACTGTGGCAAAGTAAACTGCTCAATTCTTGAAGCTTACAACAAGCAAGACATGGATCAGGCAAGGAAACTTCAACTTGAAGTTCACCAATATTGGAAAATTTTCATGAAATATGGTGGAAATGCTGCTGCAGTAACTCGAGCATGTTTGATTTTGCTGGGATTGGATGTCGGGCCACCACGATTGCCTAATATGCCTTTGAATAATGAGGAATTGAAATTGTTGAAAATAGATTTGCAGAATTTTTTGACAGTGAATAAACTTTGACTTGTCTCATCTGTTTCTAGACCTAATCTTAATGCAACCCTGTTTCAACTTGAAACAATTAAGAATGACAGCTCTCTGCTATCTTTTCTATATTTAATAGGATTTAATAATTATAGTCATTTATATTTAACTCTCTGTGTGACCAATTTAATAGTCTATCAAAATATGATGGTCTGGACAGTAAACAGAACACAGAAGTCATTGTGTTTTGTTTCAGTTTATTTTAATTTGTTGCACAGTCACAGCAATTGAACTCATTGTATTTACATAATTAAGTTAATAGTCCAATATGAAATGTTCAACCACTATGAAACTTTGAAGTTTGCCAGGCTTCCAGACCATCATATCTTAATTGATAGACTGGTGTAACAGACTGGCTAAAAGGTACATTTACACGCTGCGATTTGTCGTGTACGATTCGTATTTTGGCATATGTGTCACGCGAAAAGTAGTTTCATTTCAAATTTCACTGTAAACTAAAAGAAGAGGAGTTATGACAGAATACAACTCGTACATGACAAATCGCAGCGTGTAAACGTACCTTTAACAGACAGGCAGATCGAGTACTAGCTGACTGACGACACTGACTTTGACTGACAAATGTACAAATTGACTGACTGTCTTGGAGCATTTAACAACAAGTTGACACACATGATATAAAAATAAATATATCAATAAATATACCTTAAATAGACTTTTAAATAATTTACACAATAAATATGTTTTGATCTCTTTACATGGATTGCACGATTAAAAATACTGAAAAATGAAAAAGAAAAAATGCCTCGTTTATTACAAACTTGTGAAAACCTGAGCTACCAACCTTGAGGAACAACGCAAGCACAACCTGGAACAACCTTGTAACAACAACTTCCCAACAACCTGGGAACAAGCAGTGATCGCACAACATGATATTTGTTGTGCCAACCTTGTACCAAGTCTGTTGCAGGTCTTTAACAACTTCTGAACAAGCTGGGAACACGCAGTGCAAACACAACATGATATCAGCTTCTTGGGTCAACCTTGTAGCAAATCTATTGCACTAAATCTGAGAGCAAGCAGTACAAACACACCTAGATATATAACAGCTTGCTGAAACAGCCGTGTATACCCACGCAGAAATCTTACATCTTCTCAACAAGATGTGTTCACAACAGGTTTGTAGCAAGCTTGTCAACAAGTTGTAGTAACAATGTTGTTAGTTTGTCAATTAGTTGCTGCAAGATTGTCACTCACAACTTTTTATCAAAATGGTTGACTTGCACAACGATAACAAGTCGTTGGAACAACTTGTAACAAATCTGTTGAGTTCAACAACCCTGAACGATTCTTACTGCCTGGACTTTACATTTATAAACCTTACGTACCTTTTTCTCGTGTGCTTTTTGTCTTGAATTGCTACTTTTATTCTTGAAAATTGTTTTTGGATGTCCGACAAGGTGTTTGGTCTGAAAAGTCCTGTATTCAACAAGAAGAGATTTCTGGATCTAACGAAAATGATTTTGATTTATACGTGCTCGTAGGTAAGACGTAAGTGCTACTAACTGCTATAGAGTTCCTACAGGTCAGGGAAATTCAAATTCTAGGACTTTTCAAAGGGCTTTCAAGGCCATGTATCAGGAAATTCAAGGACTAAAGGATTCAAAAAAGGCGTTAGAAATTAGTAAAAAGTGACGTTAAAGTGTTAAACTGTTCAATTTGCAACTTTAATGAATTTCAAAGAGCTTTGTAAGACATGAACAAGTCATTTCAACAAAATGTCCGTTTTTTAATTTCAAACAAATTTCAGACAAACAAACTAAACCAAGAAGAATCCAAGGACTTACAAGCACTTCTGACGTTATAAATTGGAACACTTTCAAGACCTTGAATTTTTCTTTTCAAATTCAAGAACTTCTGGTTTTCTATAAACCCTGCTTAATATGCAGGTGATTGTGGCCAACCAGCAATTATCAGAGTTAATATTTGATACGTACATCTTCTTCGACGTCATTTAGTTGATTAGCTTTGATTGTTGAGCGCGAAGCTAACCATATGTCTGTATAATAAAATAGCATTTTTTATCTAACAATTTTTACACTGGATTCAATCAGTTCTGAACTGTTCTCCCTAGAGGCCAAGTAAGAGACATCCCTTATTCGTCCAGTCAGGGCCTATCAGAGAAATTCGGGGGCCCGGGTCACTCTTGTTAAATAGCATTGGTAAAACCCTTTTTTGTACCAATATCTGCAAAATTTAGGTTTAGAAAATTTTTTCTCAGCCCAATAATTATTTCAAAAAACGTTCCTAATTATTTTTTTTAGTTTCCAAATTTGCCCCCTTACACTTGCTGGGGGCCCGGGGCAAATTGCCCCCTCTGCCCCCTCCCTCTGATAGACCCTGCGTCCAGTGTTACTGCAGAACGTTATTTGCACGGAGGTTGGTCTAGTGTTACTACAGGAGGAAACGTAAACTAAACTAACTTTATTTATATACTGGACTCTGTTAGTTCTAAACTGTTCTCACTAGAGGTACAGTTAGAGCCGTTCTTTTATTGATCCAGTGATACTACAGGAGGAAACCTAAATTAAGCTAATAGTTATACTGGATAGCTGCATCAGTTCTGAACATCAGTTGATTCAGTTCTGAACTGTTCACTCTAGAGGTTCAGTAAGTGTTATCACTTGTTGGTTCAGTGTTACTACAGGATTAAACCTAAACTAACTTCATTTATACTGGATAGCTCCATCATTTCTAAACTGTTCTTCCTAGAGACCCAGTATGACCCGTCCCTTTTGGTCAAGTGTTACTACAGGAGGTAACCGGAGTACCCTGATAAAACCTGCAGTGTTTGGTGATTCATTTTCGTCTCAAGTTTCTGCGTCGGGGTATAAAATTGCAGTTGAACTATAACATGTAGTTGAGACTGCCAAGCTGTGTGAACACAACACAATATCAAGTTCAACAACTTAGTTGTTGAGACAACCTTGTAGCAAGTCTGTTGTAAGTCCGCAACAAGTTGTCAACAAGCTGGGAACAAGCAGTGCACAAAACAATGCTGTTATATCATGACTGTATTGGACGTGTTCGAACAACCTTGCAAAAAGTCTGACAATATCAACAAGATTGCTACAAGTTGTTAACAGCTTGTTCCAAATTTGTTGACAACTTGGAACAAGCAGTGCGAATACAACAACATGTTGACGACTTTTGGCAGACTTGCTACAAAATGTAGCAAGTCTGAGATTTCTGCGTGCGTACGGGTGTTGAGATGCGTTTGTCAACAACAAGTTGTAACATCTTTTACTCACAACTTGTTATGAAATTGTGCATTATTATTGTTTATATTTTTGACACATGCGCAGAAGGGATTGTAATCTAACTTTAAAAAATCTATGTTTTATGTTGAACTGTGCACTATTCTTTCAGGAATATATGTTTCACTTCATTTTCAGACAGGCCTTTAAGAAAAGCAAGTACTGCTTTTACAGTCAAAATTCTTTGAAATACGCACTTTATTCAACGATGGATTTTCAACTCGGTCTTGCAGCAGCCCCTGTTACACCACTTTACAAAAACGGTGAGTTAATAAATGTCTCTATTATTGGCAAATATATTGATATTTTGCTGGAACAAGGAATTCGAAGAGTGTATGTGAATGGTTGCACTGGCGAAGGGCCGAGCTTCAACGTCCAAGAACGCAAACTCGTTGCAGAAAAATGGCTGGAATACGGCAGAAATAAACTGGATAAAATCATAATTCAAATTGGCGGGACAAACATGAAAGACTCGCAAGAACTAGCCGTTCACGCACAAAGTATTGGGGCATCTGCAATCGCTTCGCTTCCACATTTTATCAATCTGACGTGTCAAGTTTGGTGGACTATTGTGCCGAGTTAACCAGTGTTGTACCCGAAATGCCCTTCATGTATTACCATATACCAGGCTACACTGGGGTTAATATTAAAGTCGAAGAATTTCTGGAAGCTGCACAGCACAAGTTACCAAGTTTGGTTGGGGTGAAGTACAGTCATAATGATCTCTATGATGCCACTCAAAGCACATTGGTAGGAGGGGGGAAATATTTTGTCAGTTTGGGTGAAGATGAATTGCTCCTGTCAGGTTTGGTGTTAGGTAAGGGTTATATTCATTTCTGTAGCTGGGTTTTCACTAAGTACAAATAGCCCGACTCTCACTCACAGACCTTTAATACTGCTAGTAAGGGCTAAGTACAATGGGCTAGTTTCCATTTAGTATCTGTACCAGTGCCGTACGTACTGTACGTAGCTTTTATAAATGGGGGCACTGGTCCATCATCCCTCCCTCATTAAAAACTAACCCTTCCACAGCGGCGATGGCATATAAGTTACGTTTTAGGGGGAGTTACTATTTTCAGGATTAGGGATGGCATATAAGTTACGTTTTAGGGGGAGTTACTATTTTTAGGGTTAGGATTAGGGTTTGGATTAGTGAAAGGGTTAGGATTGGGTCATTCCAGAAAACACCCATACCACCCCCACAGAGGAAATAGGAAGTTAACCCCCCTACCCCTTCGGATGTCCTAATACATTTACTATTATCAGAAACAATTTTTTCTCCCCTCCCCCTCCGGACAGCAGAAATTTCCTCCGTGTGGGGGAGTATGGATCTTTTCTGGAACGACCCATTAAGATTAGGGTTAGGATTAGAGTAAGGGTTAGGTTTAGGGTTAAGTTTAAAATACAAAAGAATACAAAATTACAAAAGTCTAAAAATAGTAACTCCCCCTAAAATGTGACAGCTATAAAATATGGGGCTGTTGTTCAAAGCACTGTTCAGGGCTCAGAAATGCCATTAATTTCCTGCACTTTCTGGCATCGAGTTTAAGAATTTGGCCAACAAAAATACATTTATTTTATCAATCTGACATGGCAAGTTTGGTGGACTATTGTGCCAAGTTAACCAGTGTTGTGCCAGAAATGCCCTTCATGTATTACCATATACCAGGCTACACTGGGGTTAATATTAAAGTCGAAGAATTTCTGGAAGCCACACAACACAAGTTGCCAAGTTTGGTTGGGGTGAAGTACAGTCATAATGAATTACAGTCACTGGAATTAGCTGGGGAAAATGGTATAAAAACTGTTTACGACCTTCAGAGCTATTGGACGTCAATGGCCGCCATCTCTATGATGCCACTCAAAGCACATTGGTAGGAGGGGGCAAATATTTGGTCAGTTTGAGTGAAGATGAATTGCTGTGACTAGACAGCCATCACAGCCAGCACTGTCTAGTCACTTCATTAAAAAAAAAAACGCTTCAAAAATGGGTTTGGTAGTTTGGATGACTTGTTGGGGACTAAAATCACCAGGATATTAGCATGGGCAGCAAAAGCATAACAATGACAACAACAGCAAACAACAACAATAATCACAACAACAACCCAACAACAACAACATACTGATGATCATCCTGCACTTAATTATCTTGAAGTAGTTTATGCTTTAGTTTCATTTTTTTATGACTCGGTCATGTTTGAGTTGTGTCCTTTAACGATATCGCTAAAGGACACAAGCCAATACCAAATATTATATACCATTTATACCAGTGTAAAAATTCTTATTTTAGGCTGTCTAATGCCAAATGATTTCACTTGTCAATTAAGGGAAAAGTGCTGGCACTGAATGGGTTAAACATATTTTTCATTAGGTATAAAGTCTTCAATTGGCAGTACATACAACTACTGTGGCAAAGTAAACTGCTCAATTGTTGAAGCTTACAACAAGCAAGACATGGATCTGGCAAGGAAACTTCAACTTGAAGCTCACCAATATTTGAAAATTTTCATGAAATATGGTGGAAATGCTGCTGCAGTGACTAGAGCATTTTTTATTTTGCTTGGATTGGATGTCGGGCCACCACGATTGCCTAATAAGCCTTTGACTAATGAGGAACTGAAATTGTTAAAAATAGATTTGCAGAATGCAGGATTTTTTGACAGTAAATAAACTTTGAAGTTTCTTATCTGTTTAGTGTCTAGACCTAAACTTAATGCAACCCTGTTTCAACTTGAAACAAAGAATGACTTCTCTAGTCTCTGCTATCTTTTCTATATTATATAGGATTCAATTTGAAATTTTAGTAATTATAGTAATTTATATTTGACTCTCTGTGTGACCAATTAGTCAATCAATATATGATGGCCAAAACAGAAATAATTGTGTCATGTAAATTTGTGCACAATAGTCTCTCAAGATTATGATGGTCTGGAAGACCTGTAATCTTCAAAGCTGCAAAATAGAAGACCTTTATTTGATGACTTGAACTGTACCTCTCTGTGCACAAATATTATTCATAGTGGCAGGGGCGTAGCCAAGGGGGGGCAAGGGGGGAGGGGCGGTCGCCCCCCCCCCCCAATCGCAAAGAGCCATTCTCTGAAAAAGGCTAAATCTGTAGAGAAATGGGGGTGGGGTGGATACACGTTACATCCTCGAAGCTGAAACGGATTAAGTACGTCTCGACTGAGGAAAACGACGAAATACTGGAAGAACTTGATTTCTAAAATCTCGTTAAAACAGTTGTAGATATGGTTCCAAAAGGAATAGATTTAGTTTAGATTTACATGTATATGCATTATGATAACATGAATATTCTT